AATACATCACTCTACATATTTCTTCGTGCGTTACAGTAGGATGCAAAATGTGTTACTTTATACACAAAAGATGCTTTTATAGATTAGCTAATCTTTCTTATTGTTAAATTGGAACTGACTGTACGATTTTCTTCATTCTGTATATTTCTTCGCGGGTCAATATAGCGCGAAAAATGTGTCACTTTATGCAAAAGATGCTTTTGTAGATCAGTTAAACAGTTTCTATCATTAAAATTCAAAATAACGAAAAATACATCACTCTACATATTTCTTCGTGCGTTACAGTAGGACGAAAAATGTGTTAATTTATACAAAACATGCTTTTATAGATCAGCTAATCTTTCTTATTGTTAAATTGGAACTGACTGTACGATTTTCATCATTCTGTATATTTCTTCGCGGGTCAACATAGCGCGAAAAATGTGTCACTTTATGCAAAAGATGCTTTTGTAGATCCGTTAAACAGTTTTTTTCATTAAAATTCAAAGGAACAAGTTAATACATCACTCTACATATTTCTTCGTGTGTTACAGTAGGACGAAAAATGTGTTACTTTATACACAAAAGACGTTTTTATAGATCAGCTAATCTTTATTATTGTTAAATTGAAACTGACTGTACGATTTTCATCATTCTGTATATTTCTTCGCGGGTCAACATAGCGCGAAAAATGTTTCACTTTATGCAAAAGATGCTTTTGTAGATCAGTTAAACAGTTTTTTTCATTAAAATTCAAAGGAATAAGTTAATACATCACTCTACATATTTCTTCGTGCGTTACAGTAGGATGCAAAATGTGTTAATTTATACAAAACATGCTTTTATAGATCAGCTAATCTTTCTTATTGTTAAATTGGAACTGACTCTACGATTTTCATCATTCTGTATATTTCTTCATGGGTCAATATAGCGCGAAAAATGTGACACTTTATGCAAAAGATGCTTTTGTAAATCAATTAAATAGTTTTTTTCATTAAAATTCAAATGGGAAACGTAATACATCACTCTACATATTTCTTCGTGTGTTACAGTAGGACGAAAAATGTGTTACTTTATACACAAAAGATGTTTTTATAGATCAGCTAATCTTTATTATTGTTAAATTGAAATTGATTGTACGATTTTCATCATTCTGTATATTTCTTCGCGGGTCAACATAGCGCGAAAAATGTTTCACTTTATGCAAAAGATGCTTTTGTAGATCAGTTAAACAGTTTTTTTCATTAAAATTCAAAGGAATAAGTTAATACATCACTCTACATATTTCTTCGTGCGTTACAGTAGGACGAAAAATGTGTTAATTTATACAAAACATGCTTTTATAGATCAGCTAACCTTTCTTATTGTTAAATTGAAACTGACTGTACGATTTTCATCATTCTGTATATTTCTTCGCGGGTCAATATAGCGCGAAAAATGTGTTACTTTATGCAAAAGATGCTTTTGTAGATCAGTTAAACGGTTTTTTTCATTAAAATTCAAAAGGAAGTCGTAATACATCACTCTACATATTTCTTCGTGCGTAACAGTAGGACGAAAAATGTGTTACTTTATACACAAAAGATGCTTTTATAGATCAGCTAACCTTTCTTATTGTTAAATTGAAACTGACTGTACGATTTTCATCATTCTGTATATTTCTTCGCGGGTCAACATAGCGCGAAAAATGTGTCACTTTATGCAAAAGATGCTTTTGTAGATCAGTTAAACAGTTTTTTCATTAAAATTCAAAGAAACTCCATAATACATCACTCTACATATTTCTTCGTGCGTTAAAGTAGGATGTAAAATGTGTTACTATATACACAAAAGATGCTTTTAGATATCAACTAATCTTTCTTATTGATAAATTGGAACTGACTGTACGATTTTCATCATTCTGTATATTTCTTCGTGGGTCAACATAGCGCGAAAAATGTGTCACTTTATGCAAAAGATGCTTTTGTAGATCAGTTAAACAGTTTTTTTCATTAAAATTCAAAGGAATGAGTTAATACATCACTCTACATATTTCTTCGTGCGTTACAGTAGGATGCAAAATGTGTTACTTTATACACAAAAGATGCTTTTATAGATCAGCTAATCTTTCTTATTGTTAAATTGGAACTGACTGTACGATTTTCATCATTCTGTATATTTCTTCGCGGGTCAACATAGCGCGAAAAATGTGTCACTTTATGCAAAAGATGCTTTTGTAGATCAGTTAAACAGTTTTTTTCATTAAAATTCAAAACCAGAAAAAATACATCACTCTACATATTTCTTCGTGCGTTACAGTAGGACGAAAAATGTGTTAATTTATATAAAACATGCTTTTATAGATCAGCTAATCTTTCTTATTGTTAAATTGAAACTGACTGTACGATTTTCATCATTCTGTATATTTCTTCGCGGGTCAACATCGCGCGAAAAATGTGTTACTTTATGCAAAAGATGCTTTCGTAGATTAGTTATCTAATTACTTTCAGCGTCGTAACTTGGATTCACATTTTTTAAATTTGTATAATTTATATATTTTATTTCTTATATCATTCAATATTCGAACGTTAAAATGAAATAAAATGACATAAAATGCAAAATGTGTCCCTTTATGCTTTTGTAAATCAGCTAATTGTTTATGTCATTGGCCATGTGCTTCAAAGTTTATCAATTCTTTTATTCGCTATTTGCCAAATGAGTGATAAAAATTTCTTATATATAAGAAATTTTTATATATTAATATATATTTTTTCGTACATTAAAATGAAGAATATATCATTTTATGGAAGAGAGCATATATAAATAAACTAATTGTTTCTATCATAATTAAACTTTACATATTCCATTGCAAAATTCATGTTTTCATATATAATCGTAAAATAAAAATATATCACTTTATATAAAAAGACACGTTTGCGAAATGATTCCGTATAATAATAAAGAACACAATCTTAATTTTGATATCTTTTTTCTCTATACATATGTCTCTATATATTACTATATAGATTGAATGCTTTTAGCATGCATTTGACAGTTTCACTTTTATATGGCTCGTATAATTCACAGAAAATAAATCAAAATATATTAAAATTTTGGAATTCTATTACCTACATTTATGTACATGAAATGGTATATGTAGTTAAAGGTATTAAAATTAAGATTGTTAAGGAAAACGTACGTGGATCTCACATATTTCTAAAATTATGATAGAAATTTTTTTTTTAATGCAATTGGAAATTGCAAATCGACAAAAAATCCCACAGAAAAGTATTTTATAATCGTCTTGTATGACACTTAAACTAACTGAACTTAATTTACGTCGTCAATAAAATCTCATTACTCAATATTTACCTTTCAAATTATATAACTAAATTGTATTATATTATAAATTAATGGAATATTATTTATTAAGAATTATGAAGTTTTTTGTAAACTAATATTCTTTTCCTTTTTCTGTTTTACACGCAATAATTTTATGAGATTTATTATTTATGATGATTCTCATAATTATTTACTTTGATAAATGCTTAGGAAACAAGATAACTTTATGAATTTCACGAATATATGTACAGAATAGAATTTGCGTTTTATAATATTGCGTTAATAATATTAAAAAGTATTTAAGTAATATGATGATTTAAAATCGAAACATAAACTTTAAATAGTAATTCGTATGTCATTTTATGCAAACACTTCCATAGATCAGTGCACTCAATGCTTCATCATTTCTATGTATATCTTATTAGTAGCAAGCAATAATTTATAATAGTTATCAAATAGTTCCATTATAACATTTCTGAATATCATATATACTATATAGAATGCATTATTGCTAAGCAAATTATTTTGCACAATAATTTTTAATAAAATACTGACTTTATATTCATCATAATATAAAATCAGCATTTTGTACTTAATTATTATAAGAAAATTCTAAAATTTTTATGTAAATATTAATCAGCGTAATATATAAGAATATATAATATTTTATACATTTATAAATATTTTAACAATTAAATGTTTTATAAATATTTATAACATATGTTAATATAATTGTTATACAAGTATGTATACATACATACATATATATAACTATTTATATTGTATATGTGTAAATTATAAATAAGCGAAAAGTACAAATAAGGAAAAGAGCCTTATTCGATCAAAGTTCAATAATGTCACCCTACTTCGGATAACATTTTTCGCAATACAATTCTTTGCAATAGCTTAAAATATTTCTTAGCATCATCATTATTAAATTGTTGAATAATTAAGATAATCGACAATTTTTTAATTATTATAAATTTAATTTGTGATACTACTATTTCAGCTTCGAAACTATTTTAAGATTGACATATAATCAGTGCGTAGTTTACATGAACTAAAAGATGTATATAAAAAAAATGTATGTAAAAATATTATTAGGCATATAAAGCTCTTTTCGTTTATTTGTATTATTTATATATATGTTCTTTTCACACTTAGTATATACATATGTATATACATATATAAATAATATTCAATCTATGAATATTTTATTGGTATTAATTAGTAGTATCAAGTTCAGATATAATAATAAATTAAATTAAAAGCAACATTTTTTCAACAAATTTAATTATATATATTATATATATATATATATATATAATATATTTAGTTTAAAAAAATAATGGCAATCATATACTGCATTTATCCATAAGAAAAACGAAAATATAAAAAGCGGATCTTCTAAATTTATTAAGCTTATTTTTATTTACCCGGAATTAATTTATCTTAATAGAAAGAAATATTACGCGTACTTTATGACTCGCTCGCACATCCGATATGACTCAAAATCAGAACATGAATTTTGATTCATGGCCGTTAGTATAATATACATATATCACACACACTTTATGCAGATGATTCTTATATAAATCAGCGCACTGAATGTTTCATTTCTATGTAAATCTTACCATGCGAGCAATGATGCATATAAGTAAAATTTAACACACAAACTTATACTTAGCAGTTTCATTAAGCAGTTTTCACTTATTCATATTAAACCTATCTGAATTCATATATCTTCTTTAATTGATCATCTTAATCGTCATCAACTACTCACGCGTTTCTAGATATATTAACTAAACTTGAGATAAATCTCGCTCGTCTCTGTTATTAATCCCCTGAGAACCACGGCTGTCGATTGGTTCTTGCCATGCAGATGGTCCCGGTAGCCCGGTTATTTGGTGTTGAGGAGGTGGCGGTAATTGATGTGCCGCTGGTTCCTCAATAATGCATGGTATAGAGATTTTATCCCAAGCGAGCTTATTGACTGTAGCCAGCCCGTGAACGCATACGACGCTCTGTGGATGGGGGTGACAGGGATGTTGATGCTGTAATACGAGAGTTGTTGTCGGTGGTGGAGGCGGCAGGGATGGTTGAGAGTGAGGAGGAAGGGAAGTGAGCCACGTCACGCCTGGCTCCGTCCTGTGTCATTTGCCGGTCTGTTGTAACGCCGTGTTGATCTGCGCCCACAGATCCTTATTACAAGACTGAGATCTGTATATAAAAAGAATATCGTTAATTTCTTATAGCTTTATTCATGTACACCTAAACGTTATAAAATCTGGTGTATTTGGATTTACCTTTTGATGGATTGTAACCATTCCTTGAATTGAGTATTTCCTTCAGGATTGATTTGAAAAGCAGCTCTTGCTGCACAAACAATATTGGCAAATTCTTCATAATCAGTAGCTGTTAAATGATACAATTTTTGATGCATACACTGAATATACCTAAAATCAAAATGCATAAGTTATTATTTGACACTGACTCGAGATTTGTAATTATCTTTTATTTCTTTTTATACCATAAAAAGTAATACTAACATCTGTTGGCATTTGTGCACTAGCGGAGCCAATAAGGCAGACCTCAAGTGCTGTATGATGAGCGCCGGATTGTTTCTAGCAAGATATTGAGCTGCTTCCAAAGCAACATGATGAAGGACAAAAGGACTCACAATGCTATTTACAGCACAGATACACAACTGATGCATATAATGTGAGCCAAGTCGTTTCGCAACTCTCAGCAAGAATTTAACATCCTCTCCATAGGGTGGATTTCGTGCGTATTTGGCTTGAGGCCGATCATCATGCACTCTGCGAGCCAAAGTTTCTAACGCAAGCATACCTACACGGTATGCAGAAACGAGAGTCCGTTGTTGATTAAATGTCTGACTTTGCCTATGAACCTGGGGCGAAAAAAAATTAAGTATTTTTATCTAAGGTTAAATACATTACATTATTATACATATGTACTGTATTATTATTAGAAATTACCGGAGGTTGAGCTCTCACAGTTGATATCATAGATTGCGTCTGAACTAACGTGGGTCCAGGTAAGCTGTTTTGTCCAGGAAGAGGACCCGCTACTCCTGCCTGGACCTGAATAAAATAAAAAATTATATTTATAGTACATATTGAGATTAAAAATAAGCAGTAGAATAATGCTTACTGGTATAGGTTGTTGCATCGTGTATAAATGGCGCGTTCCCGGTGTGGGTGGAGGAGGTTGCGGTGTGTAATACGGTCCAGGTGGAGGTGGAGCGGGCGGAGATGGATGATGTGGATGTGGTGGATGTTGAGGATGTCCAGGATGATGTGGAAATGGATGATACATTTGCATATGTGGTGCGGGTGGTAAAGTGACTCTATGCGAAGGCATCGGACCGCTGAATGTCGCAATAGAATGATGAGGATGTACAAAGCTATATGGGCCCACAGCATACGGCATGCCAACACCTGGAACATTATAAGATAATATTTAAAAAATTTAATAATAATTCTAAGAAAAAAAGAATCACAAGTTTACCTAAAGGCGCCAAAGTTGTAATCGTTGGATGAGTATAATGTTGAGGAGGTGGTTGCGTACTGGTAACGACAACTGTCTGCGCCGGACCAGGCATCATTTGAGTATTTGACAGATCCACAGAAGGTCCTGGATCAACTAGTAATACTCCATTGAGATCTAATTGTAGAGGATCATGAGAAATCTCATCCTGCTGATCTCCACCGGGAGTTTGCTAAAAACAAAAATACAAAGAAATATTTATTAAATTAATTGACTCACATTACCAAGTAACGATTTATTTTATTCAAACTTACCCGAAGATATAACTCGTACCAATATTTTGCCACCTGGAATAGCACCTCTGGATAAACACCGCCTCCTTTTGCAGTATTCTCTACAGTGATACAAGCTTTCTCCAACATAGCCTCGCTCTGTTCCTTGCACTGTAAGAAAATAAAAGATTTAATGATTATTTGTTTATACATAGTATATCTGATTATATTATACATACCTGAGATATAGCTCTCTGAATTTCATTAGGGTTAAGAGCATGCGCGTGCGGTAGGCAAGATAAAGCAAGTTCCGCTGCTGCCCTAACCATATTTGGATCGCTACCTCTTGAAGACTTATCAGCTATACTGACAGCTTCAGGCGGAGTCAAATGTCCTTCCCAACTGTCAATAAGGAACCAAATTGCTGGAGCTCCAATTTCCATTGCTTGGCCAGTTATCCAGGACACATGGCTTGAGTATGTACGACTGAGCCAATTCGGACTAACGCAATTATGGAGACCGAGGGCATATAATCCGAGTTGAAAAGCACACATATGAAGTGCTCTATGGGGACCATGATGATTTTGACTAGTTGATGGTTGAGTGAATAATGAAGTAGAACTGGTACCACCAGCCTTCGATAAGACTGTCTTTGCCAATTCGCACATGAAGTGTGCGCTTGCTTCTGACGGTTGATTGGGAATAGATGGATATAGCCTTTTGCTCTTATACCTAAACGACCAAAACAAAAAATATAAATTGCTGCACATAATATATGTTATATTGCGTATTTTCTAAAAACGTACCGTGTTTCTTTAGTTCTAATAGGCACCGGTAGCTGCACAATTTGCGGTTGTATAGGTAATGCACTTATACCACTGTCTAATTCTGCACTCGTACTACTATGAGGTCTACTGTTAGCGCCAATAATGTTTTCACCACCATTATCAGTCCCAGCTAAAGGAGATGAACGTTCTTCATCGTGAACAAATCGTGCCATCTAAAATTCAGAAAACGTTATGTGTAAATTTTGTAGTACCTAATATCGCAAAATATCTTAGATTCTTACTTCACTCTTTGTGGGAGGATTAGCAGTATAATAACTACTAAGAATAGGTGATTTGATAAGTTGATGAACATCTCGATCCAGTAACTTGTCCATTATTCTAGCCAATTTTACCGGATCATCTTTGTAATGTACGAGTAAAGTAATAGCTAAATCTCCTCTGAAAATAAAAAAAATTAGTACATGCTGTTATTAATATTAATATTATATGTTAATATATACACGTGAACACATACACATATATAATATATAATATATGAATATTATATACATATGATAAATGTTACCTTTGCCTGCGAGTTCCCTCACAAAGAAGTGGATGATCTGCTTCACTTACGTTCGCCTTCAATCCCAAGACAGCCACGGCGGCATCAAATCCAAGATTTGGATCAATTTCTGCAGGTAGTTTCACTCCTGTGAAATATTTTATATTTCTATTCTCTGTTTGACAAAGAAATATTTTCTTTTCCATATAAATATAAATATGATTCGATTAGATATTTATTCACGGAAGAATAAAATGTATAAAATAAAATATTTAAGATACATATTAAGAGAATATTTCATACTTGGTACATCGAGCGCATCATAAATAAAACTAGCCAACATGATGGGTAAAAGCGCATGTCCTCTTGATCTCATAACTCCATCTCTCAATTGTTCGGCTCTTTGTTTTATCATAGCTAATTCAGTCGGTCCCAAGGGAATTCTTTTTAGCAAAACTACCAATTCGCTTTCTTGATGAGCCAATTTAACCTAGTTAAATTAAAAATAATCATTAATTTCACGAACGACATAAAACAAAATTTGTTTCATTGTTTCGTTTAGTCTTACTTCCAAAGGCTTTGTGTTAGCCGGTGGCCTAGCCATTTCCAAACCAAAAAGACCCACGCGAAATGCCAAATTATGATATTCTGGATTCTCAGCAAGTACTGTGCATAGGAATCCACATTTTGCTAAAGTTGCCGATGCAAGACACGTTACTTGATGAGATGCTGGATTTACATGTTGCTATAACGTCGAGTTAAACATTTCTTTAGCATAATATTTATTTTAATCTAGCGAATAATTTCTATCTTTAAAAGAACATACCCTCTTCCGTTTGTTCTTAACTGGCACTGGCGGTCCTTCGATTACAAGATCGGGGGGATTAGCCAAAAGTTCCTCAGCTAGCTGTACTCCAATAATACATGCTTCTCTCGTATGACCATGAGCATAAAGTCCCTCTGCCCGCGCGAATAAAATGTCCCATGGATCTTCCGTTTTCTTTAAATTATTTAGAACTACACTGGCATCTTGAGTAGTAGCGGTATGTATATTGCTTTTAGCATATTTATTCGGCAGGCTACTATTATTGGTCACAGCTTTTGGATCGTAATAGTAAACATTGTACTCATCACCAGAAGGACTGTCACTACTAGATGAGGAGCTTTCATCCTTGAATGGCCTCCCAGCTTCCTTTTCTTGATCGGATTCTTGTTCGTTCTTACCACTGACCCCTTTGGGCACAACACGCAATTTATCACGGCACTCCGCAATATTCGTCCTACTGCACTTCGCGTTCTCGCAGGCAGGTTTGTTATTACTACTATCACTACTATCACTATGTGTCTCGGACGAGGCGTTTGAGCGATGCTTGTCCGAGCCTTGAGCGTTCTTCATACTAACGTTACTGTTGGAAGATGACTCGCTACCAGCCCCTTCCTACAATAATGCATTGTCATAATGTAATTTTAAGAAATATGGAACTAATACTAATGTAATAAACTCGAGTGCAAATGAAAAAATAATGACCTGCGAATCGGTATCGCCGCAATTATTTAGTTGAGCACAACCTTGTCTAAGAACAACCTGAGACTCAGATATATCAGGAATGTCGGTGTCATTCTCACAGAAACCTTCGGAGCTAACGCTGCTACGATTTCCATCGCCACCTCCACTTCTCGAACACAATGGGAATTCACGCGGATTCAACCGTCGTCTGTCTAAGTAGCTGAACTCGACGAGACCAACATTCAACGACCGTCGACCGTGATGATGCGACATTGGTGGTTGATAATTCAATACCGCTGAACTAGAATTTACCTAAAAAATACGCGTTTATCATTCCTTAACATTTCCTTAATGAAATATGGTAATGAATCATTATAAACCATTGCAAAAGCAGCTTACTAACCTGATTTACCTCCGTCCTTGTATCTCCGGCATGCCGAAAACACGTAAAGGGACAGTGGTACATAGGATTATTCTCGGCGGTATATGTAATTCCCGGTAAGATATATTCATCCCAATCAAGATAACAAGCTTCGAGCGCTGACTTGAATCCGGTAAAGACTGCGAGATCATGTTTCAGGGAATCTTTCTGTGAACTGTTACTTCTATTGTGCGAGTTGTGCGGTACGGAACTGCCACGACACTTAGCAACCTGAAACACGCAATTAAAGTCGTTATAAACTTAACTTTGTCAAAGGAAGAAGAAAAAGGAAGGTGAGGTATGCGATGCTCACTTTGTCTATGATCTTCAAATGCCAAGCCATAAATTGAGCATGCAACATTTCACGCTCTGATGGCGATAGACCAGGATTTAACGCGGCCAATCGCCAGAGAACTACAATCTCATCGCATAAGGACGAGCACGCGTGCTGAGAAGCGTGCACGTTGCTGTTCATATTATGCTTGCTGCCATATCCGGTGCCGTTCAGTAAGGCGACTTTAGTGTTGAACCACCAAACAAGAATCTGCTCGCATGCCATGCACTCTTCCGTGATGATTTCCAGCAGAGGAATGGCGTTACGGTCATTTCTCTTGAACATTTCGCGCACGATGGAAAGGAGATTCCACATTCCCTCTGGCTCGCGACCTCTCAATGGTCGCAGCAATGATGCCCATTCGGAAGCGGCTGGAGGTGCGGTGGTGCTCAAATAATTAACATCGCTGAAAAGGATATTGCGGAATGAATTATGTTAAATGATTATCGCGACGAAGGCGCCAGCTGGTCTATTAGAGCGCTGCTGTTCACCTGAAGACTATGGGAGCCGGCACGCAAAATTTGATGAGAATTTTCTTGATGTTATCGTGTAACGTCTTCTCATCTAAGTACCAAGAGGTTTGATCGTAAGCGGATGCTCCGGCGGTTGGATCGGGAGCTCCGCAATAACTGTTAATAGCACTTGGCTGTGTTGAGAGTAATTCGTCAAGGAGTCGCTGGGCTGTGGGTAAAATCTGCTGAGGTAATTCACTGATGAGATATTGAGCGAACTTCTGCAGTTGTTCCCGATGTAATCGTGACAGGGATTCACTAACTGGCGCCCTCAGACATACTTGCGTTGGCTGAAAGAACATTGCGTAACATTAAAATAATCTGCCCTTTCACATCAATCAAGAGAAAGGACTGAATAAAGGACTAAGGGGACACATCTTTCGTTTATGACTACATGTCACACGTGGTATATTGTATAGAAAATATAAAAAAAAATGTTAAGAATTTTACTGAACGTCATTCTTCTCCATTCTTCTAGCCCGATGCCAGTCTTCTTAAAGTTAACGTGGGCATACCATGTGTATTCTGTGTAGACAAACAGCTACCACGTGCGCGCACCAATAGGCCGTTGAGGAGCAGGTGCAATTACATGATGTAATTCTGCGCCGATCAAACGTTACAGCAACGTTGAACTGTGCTCTGACCCCGTTCGTTTGCGGATTTACACTGGCACTCAGATGAAATCCTGTGACAATATAGTGCATATGTTGAAGGAGGGCAATCAATAAAAAAAACTGATTTAAAATAAAAATCAAAAGAAAGCGGTATTATTACGGACTTCCGTATGAAAAACACTGCCCGTCAATTTTCGCACAAATTCTCGTTTGTCTACATTTTCAATGTATCATTAATTTTTTTACAGAGATCAATCATCGTCAGATTAATCACATATATTTACCAATATTAAGAGTTCGTGGAATATTAAAAATAAAACGAGTTTTTCTTTGTTATTCAAAAATTTTCTTTAAAGTGATCGTCTTACCGATTTGTAGAGGCTCCTTAACGGTCTTAGCGCGGTAGAGATGTTCGCCGCGGAGAAATTCATCAGCGCTACCGTTTGCGAGACATGAATAAAGCCGTATGTCCTCTTCGTTATCGGGAAAACTCCAGAAGGCTATTCTCAGCTGAAGTTGCTCCGGTACAGGTGGATAGAAATGCTCCACCAGCTCGAAGGGAATATGAGACGCCACGCATCGTGCCGAAAGTTCGCAAAGAGTTGGCACCGTCTGTTGACCATCTGTAACAAGACAGCAAATTGTGTATAATAATGACGTGTATAATAATTGTGTGCAATAATGACGTGTGTAATAATTGTGTGCATTAATGTTAAAA